GACTGGGGTGCAATTCCCCACCCACTGATTTAAGAGCTGTCTCGAGACGAAATAAAACTCCCTTTCCAACCAAACATAATATAGGAATGACGTTGTTATAATGTCATTTGACACCCCTATAAACACTATTCCGGTATAATATTATAAGAAAAGGTACCTCCAAATTCAAGGTCCGTCTCAAGGGAAATCATGAGACGTTTTATTCAGTCTACAAATTGGGTTAAAGCAAGGTATAAGCCTCTCATGCCTTTACACATTATGACACGTCATTTATTTTTCTTAATAAGAGACATTGCTGCAATTCGACAGTGAACCCCACAACGACCCCGGATCTGGGCACCAAGTCAAGCATGTTTAAATCGAGAGGTGGGAGGGGGGGGGCAACTATTTTTCTACGAAAATATTCTACAACGGTGTAGGTTTGCGTGCATCGACGTAAGCCTTGACCTTGGGATTGGTGAGCACAGTCTCAGAGTGGGCTTTGATCACCGGGTACTTGTCCAGGATGCCCGGGTGGCGGAACTCCAGGTTGAAGGCTACGTCGTAGACAGCCAGATCTGCCAGGGTCAGCTGTTGGCACAAGAGGAAACAGAGTTAGGAATGTAGTCAGTGGATGGTTAGGGGAGATCTCACAGCTATAAGACACTAACTGTTTGGGGAAATTTTTTAGCCGTAGAAGTGAGCAGTTCAGAGAAATCTCTCATCTGCAGAAACTAAAAGATCGGGGAAATCTTCGAGATGTAAAAACATATAAGTGGGGAAATATTTCTGTTGTAAAAATAAACAGTTAAGGAACATCTTTCTGCTATAGACGTGAACAGTTAAGGGGAATCTTTTTCAGCTGTAGAAGCAAATAATTTGGGGACAACTTTGAGCTTTACAAGTGAACAGTGAATACGTTGGGTTTTTTTTTACATATCACAGTTGGCCTATTTAAGGAACGGACTGAAAGATACCTGCTGTGACTTACCGTAAAGACATTATGGCAATCGTTTGTTCTGATGGTGCAGATCTGTGTCTGTCTGTTTATCCTTTTTACTGTGTCTGTCTACCTGTCTGTCTGTCTGTCTGTCTGGCTGGCTGGCTGGCTGGCTGGCTGGCTGTCTGCCTGGTTGTCTGTCTGTCTATCTCTACCCTGTATGTCTGTCTCTCTCATTTTCCCTCTCAGTCTTTCACACACACACACCCAGCCCACATGCTTCTTCACTACTAACAGAAAACATGAAAACAGCACCAACAAACACACCACAAGCCGCACATTTTTAGAAATAATAAGATACGGGAGAAAACAGTGTCTGGAAGCGGAAATTAGTAATGAAGTAAAATACAGGATTAGAAGGATAAACACTGCACTTACGGATGAGCCAACGTAATAGCCAGTGGTATTCTCCTCGAGTATTCTTTTTGCGTAGTCCATGTACCTGGGAACTGTTTCTTCCAAAAACTTCTTTCCTAATTCAGCCTGTTTGAAAAATGGATAGCAAATATATAACTTAGTGGCAATTAAAAGGTTGATATTTGGTATACGTATAAGACAATGCCTCATTTGAGTTTGAGGGGACTTAACAGTTGAAGAAGGATTTAAATGAAGATGCCTTTGATGCTCATTTATTAGATACATCTTTGTGTGGAATTTATTAATCAACGACACAAAATGAACTTTGGTGGCCATTTTCTCGCTTTTTTAAACTCTGACATCAGGTGACCCATATCCTCTTCAATGTCAAAATATAGCAATTTCTATTCAAGATAGATGGGCACTTTTCCTCAACAAAATAAGACAAAAATAATTAGACTTTAAGATGATACCAAAAACACTATAAGCCTAGAAACTGACGAATCCCACTGCGTTGGGACACAAATTTCACAAAAAGGCGCGTCTCGTAGATATATTTTTCCCCAAACAACCCAAAAGTTCAAACCAGGGTCACTCTCACTTTCGAGTTTTGATGCTAAATCTACCCTTTTGTCAACACATTAAAGATGATAATAATACGAGCACGAGTGTAGCTCATCATCCACATATATTGTGCAAATTAGATACAACCTTAAAGAATAGGAACATGTTTTGTTTTTGTTTTTTGCTGTAGTTTTTTCCGGGGGGGGGGGTGTTAAAGAAACAATACAGATACGAACTTTCAAGTTAAATCATAGACAACGTGCTCAAATATCTTGGAAACTATTAGTGAGATGATCATGCGCCCACTTACCTTGTTCACTTCATTTTGCTCCATAAATATGGGAATAGCATTGGATTTCAACTCTTGCATGAGCTGAACAGTTTGATTGATGATCAGTTCATCGCGGGCAGTCTTGCCGAAGAAACCTGTTGATTCCGATGTACGGTTTAGCCCTTTGTTGTTGGTGTAGTATACGGAGTAAACAGACAGAG